GAGTTACATGCAGAATGAATTTTGATGATTGTCGAGGCCACACTGGAAGAGTAGATTGAAATGGTGAGGTAGATCCCTCTGCCACTTGCACATGCTCAGTCATGTATCTCGAACATATACATTGGATCCTGTGCCTAAAGATGTAGTTTCCTGAGCCAAGGCATATTTGAAAAATTGCATGAGAAGCTGGCTTTCCCAGGCACAGTGACCCCTCCCTGCTCACTAACTCCTGAATCATACCTCCTGCCCCTAGCCAGGTTTATCTGGGACTTGAGCACAAAGAAAAAGTGGGAACATCTTTGAACAAGAAATAACTTGGAAAACTAGTTAAGTGGTATCATGTATTTGTGTGATGGGGTGATTTCAAAACTCAGTCTAGAAGGACAGGATCTTGCACATTGACAATTGATTGTCTGATGCAGTATTTCTTAGTCTTTTTGGGTCTTGAATTCCTTTGAGAACCTTTTGAAATTTATGGACTCTTTTCCCAGAAGAACACACTCATGTGTCTGTAACAGCTTTGCATTCAGTCTTAGGGCCTGCAGGTGTCTACATTAGTTATATATAGGTGTAAAATAAAAAGCCCCAAACTTAAGGCTTAAAGGAACCGTTTATTATCTCACAGTTTCTGTGGTTCAGAACGTCAGTAACATCTTCACTGGGTACTTCTGACTTCGCGCCTCTCAGGAGATTGCAGTCAAGATGTTGTCTGGGGGGGCCAGGTGTGGTGGCTCATACGGATAATCCCTGCGCTCTGGGAAGCAGAGCTGGGAGGATTGCTTGAGCCCAGGAGTTTGAGAGGAGCCTGGGCAACCTAGTGAGACTCTATGTATTAGTCAGTCCTCACATTGCTTTAAAGAAATACATGAGACTGGGTAATTTATAAAGAAAAGAGGTTTAATTGTCTCACAGTTCCACAGGCTGTTCAGGAAGCATAATGCTGGCATCTGCTTGGCTTCTGGGGCGACTTCAGGAAACTTTCAGTCATGGTGGAAGGCAAAGGGGAAGCAGGCACATCTTAAGGCAAAGGGGAAGCAGGCACGTCTTAACGTGGCCAAAGCAGGGGCAAGACAGAGACAGGGGAGGTGCCACACACCTTTAAACAGTTGGCTTTCAGATCCTGTGAGAACTCTCGAGAACAGAACCAAAGGGATGGTGCTAAATCATTCATGGAAGATCCACTCCTATGATCCAGCCACCTCCCACCAGGCCCCATCTCTAACACTGGGGATTATAATTGAACGTGACATTTGTGTGGATGCATAGACCCAAACCGTATCATTCCATCTCTCCAAAAAAATTAAAAAGTTAGCCAGGCATGGCGGTGTGTGCCTGTAGTCCCAGATACTCAGGAGGCTGATGTGGGACGATCACTTGAGCCTTGGCGGTTAAGGATGCAGTGAGCTATGATTGCCCCACTGCGCTTCAGCCTGGGTGACAGAGTGAAACCCTGTCTCAGCAACAACAGAAAGATGTCTGGGGTTGACATTATCTGAAGGCTTGACTGAGCTGACTGAGGTTGGAGGATCTACTTCCAAGGTAGAATCTACTTCTAGTCACATGCTAGCAAGTTAGTGCTGGCTCTTGGCAGGCGGCCTCACGTGGTCCTCCCCATACAGCTGCTTTGATGTCCTCATAGTATCCTGCTTGTCTTTTTATGACCGAGCCCTGGAAGTCCCATTCCACCACTTCTGCATTTCCTACTGGTCACACAGGTTAGTCCTGTTTAGTGCACAGGGCAAGGTCTGAGAGGGCAGTACTGCAGACTACCCATGCCCTCTCCTGGTGCACCACGCTCCCAGCACCCAGAAGCTCTCCTAACTCCATTATTTAGGGTTTTCATGTGGGGTTTCATTACATGGGTCTGACTGATTTTATCACTGACCAATGTTGATTGAATCAGTCTTCAGTCCCCGTCTTGTCCCTGGGGGTCTAAGGGTGGGACTGGAGGCTCCAGCTCTAAGCGTGGCCAGCTCCTTTCTTGAAACTGCCTCAGCGTTCAGCTTCAGTCACCTTGTTACGGGAGTGGCCAAAAGGGGCTTCTTATAAATAACAAAAGGTACTCCCATTGCTTAGGAAGTTACAGGGGGTTTAGGAGCTCGGTGCTGGGAACTGGGGACAAACACCGAATATATATATATTTGGACAAACAATAATATATATATATATATTACTACAATAGTGAACACAGAAGAAGTTTTATATAATAGCAAACGTGAATTATTTTTATTTTTGGCTAACATTTTTTCTAGTTATAAAACCGGTACCTACTCATTGCAGAGGACTGGGACTGGGGGAGGGAGTAAAATATTAAGAAAATAATAAAAATCACCCGCCATCCTATCACCTAGTATTTTTTTTCTAGTCCTTTTCATGCAGTTATATATAACATTTTGATCTTTCTTTTTGTGTTAGAGAAATTATATTTGCTTATTGCAGAGTAATCCAAAGTGTACAGAAAGTCCAAAGTTGAAAAAGTTATTTAAAAAAAAAAATTGATGCTTGCCGGGGAGGAGCCTTCTATTGTAGCTTGAGAGGGGAGATGGAGGGTCTGTGGAGTCAGAGGATGGGGAGATGGAGAGGGTGTGAGTGAGTCAGAGGATGCCCTGGTCAGGGTTGGGGGCCTGTGTGTATTTGGAGACAGCTGAGGTCTGCACAGCAGGGGTATTACCATTAGAAGGAAATGGGGAGGGGGTCTGTGGACGGGGAATTAAATTGCCAAGAAGAAAACATTTGTTTTTATGTTGAGAAGCATTATTTTCAGGGGTCAGAAGCCCTTTGTGGGGAGAGGGAAGGTAAGGAGCTATTTAATAAACAGGTGCAGCTGAGTGTGTGTCGTTAAAGTGCAATCCAGTATTTATTTATTTGTGAGGGTTTTTTATGACCTGCTTCCTGCCTAGACAAGTTGATTTGACCCTGCCACCCTGGCTCATTCCGGCCGCTTAACACTGTTTACCTTTGAGGGGGAGGACATGCTGGATCCCCTGGCTAGGTGATTTTGTAAGGTCTGTAAATAGGATGCATTCTGGTTAAACTCACTATTGCACCACAATAGCCAGTATCTGAGGGGTTTCAGCTGTTTTCTTTTGCACCGGGGAAGACTAGAGGAGATCGAACCTTTCTTGAACCAGTGATTGGGTCTCTACAGAAGAGAGAAGCTTAAAGTTAGTGAGAGCCTTATCATGTGAGCACTTGGCTGGCACCACGTAGGTGGAGACACTTTTTAACTGTGCGTTGCTACAGCTGATTTGAATCATCTGGGGAGCTTTAAAAAAAAGTCTTAATTAATACTAGGACCAGTTATGTCAGGTGGGGACCAGGCACTGTTACCTTTTTTAAAGCTCCCCAGGTGATTGCAGTGTAGGCCCAGGATTGAGAAGCAGTCCTTGAAGATGCTGGTGCCCTGACCTGCCTCCAGCCTTCTTTGCAGGGGATGGATGGGGGCTGGTTGTAGTTGCTGTCATGGGATTCACCAGCTGGATCCACTTCACAGAGGCATACGCCGGGGCAGCCACCATTCCCATTTGTGGGGGAAAAGGGAAACTGTCACAAGAATGGGCTGCAGCTGTGGGTGGAGGTGGGCAGCCTGGTGATGGTGTCATTGTCAAGAGGCCGTTGAAGTGTCCTTAAGCAGTTACTGGCCAAATCCTGTCCTCTGCGGATCCAGAGCCACAGAATATTCCAGCCAGAAGATGTCTTAGCCAGCAGCTCTTTATTGAGGACTGATTGCGGGCTAGGCTCTGTGCTAGGGGCTTTCCGGATGTTTTCTTATTAAATCTTTTTAATAACCCTATGAGGCATGCTTTATTATCCCCATCATACAGATGAGAAAACTGAGGCTCGGAGAGGTTAAGTAGCTATCCAGGATTACAGTCAATAACTGACAAAGCCAGCATCGGAACCCATGCTGGTTCTCTCCAAAGCCTTCTTAGAAATCATTTGAGAGGTGAGGAAATCAGGATCTGGAGAAGAAAAGCAAGTTGTCTGAGATGACACAACCCGCTCTCACTGGGGGCACAGCTGCTGCTAGAACTCCCCTGCGCGTTTCACAAACTGCAGTGCGTGACCACTGCCGAAGCGGGGAGGCAGGGGTGTGCCCTTCCCACTTTCTGAGTGGCTCAGGCACACTCAGTGTTGAGTTGGCATGAAATGAGAAATTAAACTTACCATGCCACTTTAAGAATATGGAGAAGGCAGGCAGAAGTGACCTTGAACCGTATCTCAGCCAGAAGGCAGGAGGTCAGTGGGGGAATCTGAGTGGGAAACTCAAGGGTGGCCTGACTGTCCTTATCACAGGTTTAGCTGGGCACTGTCAGTTCCCTCCCCTGTCAGTTTGTGGGAATCTGGGCATCAGGGATCTGCTTTAGCTCTTCACATTCGTATTTGTGTGTGCTCAGCTTAAAACCATAGCAGGCTGCAGGAGCTCAGTTCTGCCTCCATTTATGGACGGAAGAGAAACGAAGGAATGCTCCTTGGGGTGATGTTGGGGAGTAGCTACATGGGAAAATGAAGGGTGCAGCACCAGAAAAAAAGGTACTCCCAGGACTCCCTCCCACCAGTGCTTGGACTAAGGAAGAAGCATTTCTTTTCAGCCAAATTTCCAGACAGTTGCTTTAATTTGTGTTCATCTCAGTCTCTGCCAAGGATTCAACTTTTCCTGCTCATTTCATTAAAAACTTTATAAACAGCATTAATAAATAGATGTAAAACTGCCACATAAATGACAAACAGAGGGACTAAATGAGACTCCCAAGGGTCAGCTGTTGAATAAGTAACAAAACCGCATCTTGCGTGATCAGATTCCCATATATGCAAATTAGGGACAGTGCTTTACCACAGAGTATTTTAATTAATATTTATAAATCACAGAGCGCCTTTGGAAGGGCCGGGAAGCTATTTATATTATTATCATGTCACACAAATAACAAAGCCTTTGGAGATTGCTGCCTACTTTGCATTTCGGTCTGAGAAGTAAGTGAGCGTGTTTCTTTTCCTTGTAGGTGTGGTGTCGGCACAGCGGCAGGTCACCGTTCAGGAAGGACCGTTGTACCGCACGGAGGGCTCTCACATCACTATCTGGTGCAATGTGAGTGGCTACCAGGGACCTTCTGAGCAGAATTTCCAGTGGTCCATTTACCTGCCTTCAGCCCCAGAGCGAGAGGTGCAGATTGTCAGCACCGTGGACTCTTCCTTCCCCTATGCCATCTACACCCAGCGCGTCCGCGGAGGGAAGATCTTCATAGAAAGAGTCCAGGGGAACTCAGCCCTATTGCACATCACAGATCTTCAGGCCCGGGATGCCGGGGAGTATGAATGCCACACACCCAACACTGATGACCAGTACTTTGGGAGTTACAGTGCGAAGATGAACCTAGTAGGTAAGGAGACGCTGTTTTCCCATGGCCAGCTCCAGGCCTGACTCAGTTCTTTAGTAGCGGCATTTTGCTTTATGCCATGCATTTGACTTTTTAAAAATCCCACCTCTCCCCACATATTTTAGGGGTCAACAGCTAGCACAAGTAAACTAAATTTCTGTGTTCACTTGTAAATAATAGATGGTTTAGGCCGAAACTTTAAAAAGGTCTAATGCAGATGTCAAGACTTTCATAAGTTAACTAACCCTTAACTGGTGGAAAGGGATATGAAGACATATGGCAAGAACATTTGTGGCTGATGATCTGAATGAAAAGGAAGAGAAGACGTATGACATCAGTTGGAAGAGAGGAGAAACCTCTCGGAAAGATAGGCCTTTGGGCAGCTCTGAGACCCACAGGGCGCTGCTGAAGCAGGGAGCACATGTGGCTGCGGGTTCTTGCTCAGACCTCGTACATTGCAAGTCCTTTGGCTCCATGTGTAAGGAACTATGACCTGGCTGTTTCCCTTGTTGCTCCTTAATGCTGAAGGAGACATGAGGAAGAGGGAGGTGGGAGCTTCCGATGTGGGCAGCACTGGTCACAGTGTTTGCCAGTGTGAAAGGGCTGTTCCGTTTTACTGCCTGTCTTCATTTCCAGTTTTTTTATCACAGCTCAGCAGTGGGTGTTGCTAATTCTTTTCTTAATACAAATACTATTATTTGTTTATTTTTCCTTTCTCTAACAAGTCTGGGTCCCAGTAGGAGACCTTTTTTTTTTAGACAGAGTTTTGCTCTTGTTGCCTAGGCTGGAGTGCAATGATGTGATCTCAGCTCACCGCAGCCTCCCCTTCTCGGGTTCATGCGTTTCTCCTGCCTCAGCCTCTTGAGTAGCTGGGATTACAGGCATGTGCCACCATGCCTGGCTAACTTTGGTATTTTTAGTAGAGATGGGGTTTCTCTATGTTGGCCGGGCTGGTAGGTCTCAAACTCCTGACCTCAGGTGATCCGTCTTCCTCAGCCTTCCAAAGTGCTTGGGATTACAGGCATGAGCCACTGCGCCCAGCTGTTCCCAGCAGGAGACCTTTAAGATCTAATCCTTGGGTGAGAACAGGGAGAAAACACATATTAGTTGTGACTAGGGTACTCTCATCAGACAGAGAGGTGGTGCTATTTAATCTCCAGAAAGAAGCAAGCAAGGATCCGGGTATGATTCTGGGGGTCACAGAGGAAATCTCTCCTGTTGCCTGAACCTCTCCAGACTGTGGCTTCCTTCCAGCCAGGACCTGTTTGATAGATGAATTACGTGAAAATTAAACCTACTAAAAATAGAGTTTGATGATGATTTTCTCTGCTAAAAATGGTTTTTAAAAACATCGTCTCTCCAGGGCTCCCTTGCTGAAGTAAGTTGCAGAATGGGGGTGTGGGAAGGAGAGAAAGGGGAAAATAAGGATATTGTATAGAAAGGCAGAACTAAAACACGAGGCACTTCCATTTGAGGATCAGCCAGAAGTGAAGTTCAAGTATCTCAAAGCAGTGGTAGAATCAATAACAAATGTGATTTCACCTAAAAGACAGTTGTTCAAAACAGTATTTTCAGGGAGTCCATTGATTATGTAATATGAAACACACCCCATGTTTTATCCAAGTGTTATTAAAATACCAAACAAGTAAGTGTAAGTACCAAAATAATGCATTTCCAAATCCAAACATAAAACTCTTTCTGGTTATGTGCATTTGGGGCTGTTTGTGGCTTTGAATCGCTAGTTCAGGGACAACTGTTGGGGACGCAGTGCAGTGATGCCTGCATGGAATGGGAGCTTAGCCCCTGGGAGTCTCAGATTCCGTGGCTTTGTGACTGCACTCTTGGGACTTTCTGTGTTGCAGTGATCCTAGACTCCCTGCAGACCACCGCCATGCCCCAGACTCTGCACAGAGTGGAGCAGGACCCGCTGGAGCTCACTTGTGAGGTGTCCTCAGAGACCGTTCAGCACAGCCACCTGTCTGTGGCCTGGCTCCGGCAGAAAGGTGGTGAGAAGCCTGTGGAGGTCATCTCCCTGAGCCGAGATTTCGTGCTTCAGTCCAGCAGCGAATATGCCCACAGGCAGAGCCTGGGGGAGGTGCGGCTTGACAAGCTGGGGAGGACCACCTTCCGCCTCACCATCTTCCACCTGCAGCCTTCCGACCAGGGCGAGTTCTACTGCGAGGCTGCTGAGTGGATCCAGGATCCCGATGGGTCGTGGTATGCTATGACCCGAAAGCGTTCCGAGGGAGCTGTGGTCAACGTCCAGCCAACTGGTGAGTGTCTCTGAGCCTCTTGTCCTGTCTTTTACCAGGTGGTGAAGGTTGCCAGATACTGGGAGGGTATGGGGACTCCTTCTCTGGGCACCTCTACCAGGGCAGCAGGTTTTCATGTGAAGTTAGAGCCGGTCTTGTATACAGCCAGACGGAGCTGAGGGATGTGTGGGGCCTGGGTATCCTGGGACGTGAGTCACAGGCGGGTGCTGCAGACTGAGTCCTGCTTGGAGACGTGCATTCTTTGACCTACATGGTGTTTACATTTTCTTGAATTAGAAACCCTTTTTAAAAATTGGGCGTTTTCCGAGAAACCATTTGCATCTTAAAACTCGGGCTTTCATTCCCATTAGCCACAGTTGCCGCCCTGTTCGGTGACGTTGCCTTCCTCAGGTACCCATCCGGTTTCATTTCCAGAAGACATTTGAGAGAATGAGACTTCCATCCAAGGTCCAACAGCATGAACTAGAGACATTTTGGCTTAAATTATTGTTTTTTTATCTAATAATATTCTTTGGTGAGGTTTTGTAATTTCCCAAATACTTTATCACATATTACTTCACAGTCCCACAGACATTCTGTGAGGGGAGTAGGTGGTAGTATTCCCATTTTGCAAGTGAGGATGCTGAATGCAGATTACTTTATGTTGGGGCCCAGGAGGAGCCACAGGGCAAGTTGACAAGGCCAGTCTGAGAGTACCAGGTTCCACTGTAGATATTTTCTTGAGTGAAGATGTGGAAGGGTTCCTGAGGAGGTTACATGATTTCTTTAAAAAAAAAATTTTTTTTTAATTTTAAAAGAAATTAAGCCTACAGCACCTGCTATTCCTAGGAGGTCTCCCATCCACATACTAACCAGGCCTGACCCTGCTTAGCTTCCAAGATCAGACAAGATTGGGCACGTTCAGGGGGTCACATGATTTCTTTAGAGCTGAGGCAAAATGGTGGTGGCTCACTCAATGGAAACCCTCCCTGGCTCCTCTTGGTATCTCCTGTGGCCCCAGACTGCTCTCCAGGCTGCTGAGCCCACCAAGCTCCAGGCCAGAGCTGACGGCTGTCGCTGGCTGTGGCTACCTCTGCTGGGCTGAGGGGCAGGTTCTCACATGGGCCTTCAGCTCCCCAGCTTTGCTTGGAGAGTGGTTGTTGTGCCGTCACTGAGTTGCAGTGAGTGGCTTGAAAGCCTTTCCTTGTGTGGATGCTCACTTCCGGTGAGGGTTGTGGTGGTTCCGGTGAGTGAGTGCACATGTAGCTTTTGGGATATGAGCTGGGGAGTCTGAAGTCTCAGTACAGGTGGGGTCCCTCTTCAGGACCTGTCTCTTGGTCTCCCTGTCCCATTGGCTGCAGTCCCTTGTCTGGGTCTTTGCATACTTTCTCTGCCATTCTAGAGCAATGCTTCAGACTTACCTAACAGTACACATTTTGGGGCTTCGTCCCAGTAGTCTTCAGTCAGAGGCTCCTGGGACGGGACCTGGGAAGCTGGATTTGCCTCACGCTTCCCAGGTGATTCTTTTGCTATCTACATTGTTTTCAAGCATAGCTTCTAGGGCAGAAGCAATTTCTGGACATCATTTTAGTAAGTCATCTAATGGATGTGCGAGCTTTTACCATAGGGGAGCACTTTATTTGCTCTCTAGGACATTTAGCGGCTTCTGGATCTTTCAGTATTAAGAAATCTATGCAAGGGGCTTTATTTTATATTTATCCTTTCCCTTCCTGGATAGTTTTAAGATCAGCTTCAAAAGTTTGGGCCAAATTTTGAGTCTTAATGCTTTCAAATTAGGTTGCATCAGTTAATCTTCTTTATTTTAATCTTACCAATTTGGAATTAGAACTTTTTGAATTTACCCTGAAAATGTATCTAGACTAAGCCAGCAAAGGGAAAACTGAGTGAAGAAAAGGTTGATGACTTCCCCCTCCATTCCTGTGCTGTTCAGGTTCAGCGGTTGCATCTCCAGCTCTATCCTTTTCTTAGTTCGTTTCAATAAACATGTAGTCAGTCTCCACAGCATTGAAGGTGTGATGGTGATAGGCATTAGGGGCTTCAAAGATGCCTAGCCCTTAGGCAGACCTGAGAACCAACGGCCACGTAGAATGTGCTAAGTGCATCCATAGGATTTGTTCAGAGTGCTCTAGGAATACAGGAAGTAGGAAGTCTTCTTGCACTTCCTATTTTCTCTGAATGGGAGGGTTGATAAGACAAATCCAGGAAAATCATTAAGTTTTGTGACTTGAACTGAGTGTGGAAGCTTGAGGAGTCAGCAGGAGGAGAAGCGTGAACGTACAGGAGTGAAAGTGTTTGGTGTGTGTGGCGAGCAGAAAGAAGTCAAGTCTGATTCCATGTTGCGTTCCGGATGTGCATGATGAGAGGAAAGGCAGCCGGAAGCCCCACATGCTGTGATGTAGAGCTGGGGCTTGACTCTGTGGGCCAAGAGTTTTAAGTGTTCTTGGAACCCTGGGCGCCCCTCAGAGGTGCCTAGGAGGTTAGCCATGGGTGTGTGGGGGTGTTCGTGTGCATGTGTGCGTGCCCAGGACTGCAGGGAGAAGGCGTGTGAGGGCCTGGGTGGTCCCCCCTTGCTTCACCTGAATGTTTTCTATGATGGGCGTCAAAAGATTTCGTATGAATATAAAGTCCTCTTCCTTTCCCCCTTCTTAATAAACAGAATCCTTGTCTGCTTGAAGAGGGCCAGGGATGGGGATGAGTGGGTGAGGTCTTGAAGATAATGGGAAATGGCAGTCTAGGGAAGGCAGGCAAGGTCAGAGCTAATGAATCTACGTGGAATTCAAACGTCTCTGCCATGGGATGTCCCCCCTCAGTGTTCTTTTTAGAGGAACAGAGCTAGAACTGGGCAGTGGTCACAGCTCCAGTTTCTCCATTTCCTTCCCCCTGACTTCTGCCCTCGGTGTCTATGAGATAAGATAGCTGTCTCATGAGATTAACAGCCACTGCACACCGGTACACAGGTTGTAGTGATGCGGTTAGTGGTGACGAGTCCCTCTTTGATCACCCCCTCACGCCTGGTTAAACACCCAGCTCAACAAAAATCAGCCGGATGTGGTAGCTGCATAAGAGGCTGAGGTGGGAGGATGGCTGGAGCCCGGGAAGTCGAGGCCGCAGTGAGCTGTGATTGTGCCACTATGCTCCAGTCTGGGCAACAGAGCGAGACCTTGTCGTACTAAATAAGTAAATAAATCAAAATTGAAAAATAAATAAAAATTGAAAAAAACACTTAGCTCTCTGGAGGCTGCTTGGGTTTCAGAGGCTGTCTGGCTTTCAGTGGAAGTAGGTGCTTTCCCTCTAAAGTACCTACTAAGTACTTACCAAGTGGGAAAGTACCCACTGAGGTTTAACCAGGCGTGAGAGCACTTAGTAGGTACTTCCCCACTAAAGTAGGTACTTTCCCACCAAAGTAAAAGTACTTAGTAGGTACTTTAGTGGGGAAGTACCTACTTCCCCTGAAATTTGCCTGACGATTTGGTCTGGCAGGTAGTAAACTAGTGAACAGACATTAGTTTTCGTTTTCTCTGTGTGATTCTGTTAGGGTTTGTCTTACCCATGTCTTGTGTCCAGTATTCACATGGTGGGTAGAGAGGGAATTGTAATATAGTCATCTCTGAGCATTTGTTGGGACTGGGCCAGCATCTAGGCCACTCTGTAATTTTTTTTTGCACAGACCTTGGTGGGGTCAGTTTTACAATATCTGCTAAAAATATTTATAACGCTGTTGCTTAAATGGAGTTGTGAGTGCATATATCAAGGCTCGATCTTTGTAATCTACCATTTGAGTGATATTAGTGACTCCTCACTGACCTGGGGGTCTCATCTAAGACATCTAAAGCATCGGAATGAGCCCCCTTGGTCCTAACTGGGGTAACAAGTTGTTTAGACTGTCTGGGCTGAACTAGTTTTGAATACTCTCTGTGATATTCAGCGGTTTCTCTGGACCTCAGATAACCTGGGTCGGAGCTGGATTTTCCTCTCAAGACGAGCACTGTGGTCCTCCCCGCAGTTAGTGTGTAAAGGAGAGGAAGGGTGGTGGGGATGTGCTGAGGTGGCTTAGCTGGCTGGGGCCCTCATTCGCCCAGGGCGTGTCTCTCTCCTTGTCCTCTCAGACAAAGAATTCACTGTTCGGCTGGAAACGGAGAAGCGGCTGCACACAGTGGGTGAGCAGGTGGAGTTCAGATGCATCCTGGAGGCTCAGAATGTTCCCGACCGCTACTTTGCTGTCTCCTGGGCCTTCAACAGCTCGCTCATTGCCACCATGGGCCCTAACGCCGTGCCTGTCCTCAACAGCGAATTCGCCCACCGGGAAGCCAGGGGACAGCTTAAGGTGGCCAAAGAGAGTGACAGTGTCTTTGTGCTGAAGATCTACCACCTCCGCCAGGAAGACAGCGGGAAATACAACTGCCGGGTGACTGAGCGAGAGAAAACGGTGACCGGGGAATTCATTGACAAGGAGAGCAAGCGTCCCAAGAACATCCCCATCATAGTCCTCCCCCTCAGTAAGTAGAGAGACGTGCTGCTTTCTTCTGTGTTTCAGCATCACTTAGGGGAGGTAGGGGGAGAAGGAACGGCGTGGTGAGGGGGAGGGGAGGGCAGGTGGAGCCCTCGAGGTTAATGCAAGGCTGGGAGAAGAACCACAGGGCCTCTCTTCCCTGTGTAGCCCACCTGCCTACAGGTAGCAGGCTCCCCATAGCAGAGGGTCAGGATCTTGTTGGCAGGCCGGGGCTGGGCATAGGCCTATCCGAGCGCTAGCAGCCCCGAGCATGCACAAGCAGTGCCAGCTCAGCTTGGAGGGAAACCAGGAATCCCAGAAGGCTGTTTGCTCCTGTGTGGAAATCAAGTCCCAGAAGAAGTGGGTAGATGCCTGCCTCGAAGTCTTACTTCAGGAGAGTTGGTCTTTTATGGGAGGATTTGAAATCATAAAGTGCATTATTAAGGGTTTGCCGTCTGGGTTTTTCAGGTGTAAAGTCTGGCATTTCCCTAAGTGGCTCTTCCCTGCTGAAACTGCGTTTCTAAGTCAGTGGATGGGACCTCTCACGTCTTCCTGGAACATAGCCTTTTAAGCTTAGCTGATTTCTGAGGCTGCCTCAGTGGGCTCCTGGCCTCCATGCAGGCTGGTGTTCTGTGGGTGGGTGGTAGCCATTGCTAGGGGTTCCAGAAACTCCCAGTGTTTGCTTGTGCTGTGTTTAAACATTCATAGTATCAAGATAGTCTTCTTAATCCTGTTCTCTCATACTTCTGTTTTTAGTGAAGAGAATAAAAACTTAACAATGCTCTGATTTTAAACAAGTGGTAAAGTTTTGAGACTAACCTTTAAGCTTTTCTCAGCTGCTCAAACTATTCTTTCTCTGAGCCTTGTAATAATTTCCTTTACATTTTTATTTGTATGTTTCAATATTTAAAATGCTTCTCTTCAAGTGTGAAGTAAAAAGTAGCCACAGGGGTCCTCTTGTCCTCTTGCCACTCCATTCTTCTTTCCTCATCAACTGGATATTTTCTTTTACCCTTACTATTATTTTGCTAAAACCATACACACCCCTAATTATCTTGAAATTCTTTTGTTTCTTAGCCATTCCCTGCAATGCCTAGCATGGTGCTTTGCATAGAGTAGGTGCTTGCTGAATACTGTACAGTTGAAATTATCGAACTGAATGCCTACTCTCTTTACTATTTTCTCGTCAGTCTGTGCTTGCCTTAACCACGGACTCTCTACTTTTAAACCTGCAACTAATTCCTCATTGTTTTCTAAGGATCAAGTGAAGGGCAGCCACGCTGTTTACTTCCTATGGTTTTGTACTAAGATTTCCCCCAACCCCTTCTAAGAACTTGTTTGATGATCTGTGGCCTGCTATATTGCTTTTCCAGCAGATAACTGGGTAGTTAAAGTCCCCCAGCACCACCAGATCCTGTCCCAAGGCCACTTGGGTAAGTCTGCCAAAGAACAACAATCACATCGGGAATGGTGATGATGCCTTGGATTTTAATGGCGCTTCTCCTCCTAAGAGACCAAAGTGCTTCTGCGTAGATCATCTCCTTCTCCGCTTCCACCTCTCAAATCCTTGTGGAGGCCAATATGATATCCATCTGATGAATGAAGAAATCAGAGCACCACACAGGAAGTGGCAGAGCTGATTGTTCAGTTAGGGGTTGAGCCTGCACTGCACTAGGAATTATCTGTTTCTGACTCCAACCCACCGCCCTGCGCTTCGCCTGTGCTACACCAGCAGCCTCCCGATTCGAAATTTCATTTGTGAACGTGTACTCAGATTCTCATCAGTTCTGTCCTAGTTTTCACTTAATCCAGAGAGTTTAAAATTGTCAGCTGCCTTTTCTCAGGCCTGGAAACCCTTGTAAATAGCCTTAGTGGGCAGTGAGGCACCAGGCCTGTAGTTCTGCAGTTGCCTTTGCCTCAGCTGCTGTAATAAAATAGCTTTTCTTCTTGCAGCCCCACCTTGTAACTGCGTGGGTTTTCCAGGCTTGCTGAAGCAGCAGAGCACCACACAGCAGCCCTTACAATCAGTGAGCCAGGACCTGCATAAGTGTCCACGGCGATGACAGTAGGGGATGGGAGTGATGTCCTGTAGAGTCATTCTTCTGCTTAAGACAAGCGAAAGGATTTTCTCCCCCTGTGCTGAAGTTGCCCTTTTAATCCCTTATTTTGAATTGATAAAAGTGGGGATGAGTCTTTAATCAAGAGGAATATTGTTGTTATTAATGATGATGAAAAATAATTACCTCCTCTAATCCTCTCAATGTCATGCCCTAAGAAGTAGGCACTATTCGTATCTCCATTTTGCACATGAGAAAAATGGAGCTTTGGTAGGTTAAGGAGGAACCACAGAATTACAGAGTTAGGAAGTCTCCAAATCAATCCTCTTAACCACTAGTGCTATAGATGGTGACCGTTCAGGAGCCTGATCATCTCTGTGAAGCGTCCTGGTATGAATCCTGGAGGAGGTTGCCCTCCTGGGAAAACTGCTATTCCCTGCCCCATCCAGACCTTTTATTTTTCGCATAAAACAAGCAAATCCAGAATGGGTAGCAGGCATCCTCCCTATAATAAGAGCTACATGCTGAGGCTCAGTGCTCGTCTTTGTTTCTGCCTGTTGGGGAAATAAAGGAGAGAAAAGAGTTGATTCAAATGCATTGTTATGTGTATGTGTGTGTTTTCTCTTGATAATTGGGCATGCCTCTTAAAATCTGGGATTCGATTTAATTAATTGGTTTAAAATTATTGCATGTATTTCATGTGGGTGGTGCGTGCCTAAAAATTGGACCCAAATTAGTTGCTTTGTGTTCTTCAATACTTATGAACCTTCTGAACTCAATGTAGATAATTATACAAAATACTATATGCATAATTAAGATGTATTAGGCTATCTATGATGTTTATAAAAACAAAGTTACATGAAATAGTAAAATGAATCATGATCATGATGATCAGTTTTTGAAAACCTACTGTGTGTTAGGTGAATCTATATACGTCATCTCACATACTTGTTAATATTCAAAGAATTCTACAATTAAAGGTAGCTGTCTACCTGTCTTACAGAAAAAGAGGTGGAGGCATGTCGAGTTTAAATAATTCAACTGAGTGAATTCAGATAGCTAAGTGAGCAGCAGAGGCTAGATGAGGCAGGGAAGGGAGTGAAATCCTTATCCCAAACTTGGATTGGCAGAATGTTTCCAGACAGAGAGCAGAGGAGCCCCAGGCTGACCGGACAGGCGGGAGAGTGGTGGTGACGAGCTGCTGGCTCTGGTTTATTCCTCTGTGTTAATGAAAGAGTGAAAGCCCGCTCCTCACACACTCTGTGAAATCAGACCATCTGTGCTCCGTTATTACCCACACTTAAGCACACGTAATCATCCAAATATTTCCTGTTGGGTTTTTTTTTTTTTTTCTATTTCCTAAATTGCCCTGAAGGACTCAAATGGCACATTATGGATGTTCAGCCTTTTTTTGATTGCTGTAGTACCGAATGGTAGGAAGAGTGAAGTGAAGGAGGATTTCGGAGTTACTCGTCTTGGCTGAAAATTCAACTTGAAACACCCTGAACTCCAGCTGAATAGATCGTCCAATACATTGTCAATGTGCTAAACATCATGCCACCATGTTGTGTTTCTTAGGTTCTTACCCAGTCTCAGGTCTTAGAACCTCATTATCCCAGTCCTCTGCACACAGCAAAGAACATCCTAGATTATCAGATCTAAAATCACAGGGAGCAATGCCCAGAACCAGCCCAGGCTTACAGCACCAAGTGCCAGAGTGTTTTTGCCCTCTGAGGCTCACCATACCTGAATATGATTCCATTTGCACCACTCCCCCTGTTTCCTCTGTGGGGAGGGTGCCGTGGAGACCATAAAGCCTCCAGTGTGTTTCTCTCTCCCTCTTCCCAGAGAGCAGCATCTCCGTGGAGGTGGCCAGCAATGCCAGCATCATCCTGGAGGGCGAGGACCTGCACTTCTCCTGCAGCGTCCGCACGGCAGGCAGGCCGCAGGGTCGCTTCTCTGTCATCTGGCAGGTTGTGGACAGGCAGAACCGCCGCAGCAATATCATGTGGCTAGACCGGGATGGCACCATGCAGCCAGGCTCGTCCTACTGGGAGCGCAGCAGCTTTGGGGGCATCCAGATGGAGCAGGTGCAGCCCAACTCATTCAGCCTGGGCATCTTCAACAGCAGGAAGGAGGACGAGGGCCAGTATGAATGTCACGTGACTGAATGGGTGCGGGCAGTGGACGGAGAGTGGCAGATTGTTGGGGAACGCCGGGCCAGCACTCTCATCTCCATCACAGCTCTCGGTGAGTGAGAGGTCGGACTGGCAGTGGGATTGCCGTGGAGACTGCTTCGCTGTCAGACACCTTATCCTGACTTCCATCAGTCAGGGTTCTAGCAGGACACCGCGGCCGGTCTTTCACATAGCGAGTTTAAAGTACTTTCCTTTATGTCTATTTTGTTTCTTAGAAGGGTTTAATTAAGGTGGTGCCAGCAAGGTTGAAGGGACCCACAATGGATGGGCTCCTGGGGGATAGCAATAGCTGGGAGCTGTGACAACTCCTAGTCTGGCTGGCAGGGAGTGGTATTATCAGAATTCCGTCCAGGTCCGTGATTGAAGTGGTGGCCCCAGGTGGAGGAATGTGGCCACTGCCAGCCTGGCCTTGAAGAGAGAGAGAGCAGAGCGGCAGAGCACTGTGTGACATGTCTCTCCTGCCCTGCTGCCCAGTGCCAGCTTCCTGAAAGTGAGCAGAGAAGGGTACAACAGAGTCACCTATTGTCATTTATTTAGCATTGACTATGTTCCTGGCTGAGCCTTAACACTTAAGCTTAGTTGTCCCATTGAATCCTCACCTAGCCAAGTGACAGACACTCTCATTTTATGAGGAAACTGAGACTGAGGAGCCACATTAAATACTTTGCCTAAGGCTACAAGTTTTTATCTACTCCCGATGGGGCCCCTACCTAACAAAGCTATTTCCTCATTAGCATGAAATGAAAAGATACCTTGACATTTGCTAAAACCAAAGATTAGTTTTGCTTCTCACAGCGTAAAGAGGCTTCTATCAACATTTATCTGCCTGATATAATCAGTATATTAAATTTTAAGCCACCAGTCTGTGCCTTTGCTGGGAAAGAAACTTGTTATGTCAGGTCTTTCTGTTTGTCAGGGGACATCAGTTGTCCTCAGCAACTTTGTGTCCCCTTGCTGGGACTGTGTCACCACCTTTTTTTGCAGGTAGGGATGATGGTGCTTTTGGATACTCCCAGTAAAGATGGCAGTCCGGAAGGGTTTTTGTCCCTAACAGAGTCCTTCATTTTCTTTCCCTTCTGAAATTAGATTTACATTTATTTTCTAAAGCTTAATCCTAAAGATTGACCTGCTTTTTGCAGTAATCGTACGGCTCAGATTTCTGTCTTAGAAAGTTCCTCCAGCGATCGAGTTCCCTGATCGGCTCAGTCCCTGTGTCCATATGCAGCACTTGCGTGGAGCCAATGAGCTGGAACTTGGGGGTCAGCTCTCGGATGCCTAGTACTGGTAGTTTTTGTTTTGTTTTACCATCCTGGAAGGTTAGGAATATCCGAGGAGTGATTAGAATTAGTGAGGATTGTTTCTAGAAGTAATTTGTGGTTTCACGTCATCCCGAGTTTTTTTGTACTCACCATATGTCTGGTGGTTCTCGCAGCCAAGGGCACTGAGGGGCTCTGCCCTGGGATCCTGGGGCCAATACTGTTCATTTGATCTCTACCACCGTGATACCTCTGACCAGAGCCATAATCCGGTGGCCTAAAGGACTGAACAAGGAAGAATGGGAGGGCATTCTAAACTAACCAAGGTTGTCCTTTCAGTCTAAAGTTAACAATGACACACATGAATTTTCTTGTCAGTATAATTCGATGTGGGTCCCAAATGCACAATGAGCCATTATGACTGTTCAGTAGAGCAGCCCAGGTGCTCTGTGACCATGACATGTGCCCGTCTCAGGTCTAGACAGTCATTTGCTTGGAGAAGCTCTCTGTCTTTCGGGTGTGAGGCCAGGAGCACTTGGTGTGGGTCCTGCCCCTGAGGTTCTGTCCTGTACCCTCTCATGCAACACCTCCTACACATAGGTACAGTGACCGTCATAGCCACTTCATGCTTAAGGATGAGCCTCCATATCGTAAACTTTTTTTAAAGGGTATATAGAGATAGCTTATGAAATCCAAAGTGAAGGCTCAGAGTTTTCAGCAAATTGATCCTACTATCTGCCAACTTAAGTTCCCCATAGAGAGCCAAAAGATTCATCCTGTAGCCAGGCTTTCACATACAGAGTTTAAAGTACTTTGCTTTATTACTATTTTATTTTATTTTTGAGAAGTAGTCTTGCTCTGTCACCAGGCTGGAGTGCATTGGCGCGATCTCGGCTCACTGCAACCTCTGCCACCTGGGTTCAAGCGATTCTCCTGCCTCAGCCTCCTGGGTAGCTGGGACTGCAGGCATGCACCACCATGCCCAGCTAATTTTTGTATTTTTAGTGGAGACCAGGTTTTACCATGTTGGCCAGGAGGGTCTCCATCTCTTGACCCCGTGATCCACCTGCCTTGGCCTCTCAAAGTGCTGGGATTACAGGACTGTGCCACCATGCCCAGCCCTCTATTTCATTTTATTTAATAAAATATAGTATATCTCATGTGCTGGGTCCTATTTGGAGCATTTTACAAACACTGATTTATTTAATTTTCACAGGGACCCATTTTACAGACGGGAAAACAGAGGCAGAGAGAAGTTAAGTAACTTGTTTAATGTCACTCAGCTAGGAAGTATCAAAGTCTTGGCTGCTGGCTCCAGTCTAGACCTTTAACCACTCTGTTATACTTTCCATGGGTAAAGCAACCTAAAAAGGCCCCTGGAGTCACTTACAGGTGGATTTGGAGGCTAACTCTGGCATTGACTTACTAGATGCTTGATATTGGGCAATTTATCTAACCTCTCTCTGCATCAGTTTCTACATCTGTAGGAAGAGATGATAAGCCTCCTGTTCTACAGGGTTGTCTTGGGGAAAAGCAGCTGGCACCATGCTTGCACCTAGATAGGGTTCAATAAATACTGGCTGCTGTTAGCTTTGTGATTATGATCGATGTGTGAATATTAAATAGTATTTCCAGGCTGAAGGAACTCTGAGGTACTCATATTGAGGAGTCCGGATTAGGGCCCAGTAGTGCTGCCCATCCAGTAGGGAATATTGAGAGACTACAGCCACTGAGAATGCAGAACTCTGCATTTAGGACAGTTGTCCCCACGCCACTGGAGGTCCCCACCTGCTCTGCCCTTGGATTTCATGAGGGACGTGGGAAAGGGACTGGAGGTCTACTCCATCTGCTTCCCTTTTTGGCCCCAGTGCATTAGGGGACCAGGAAAAGAGGTGTTGGGGCTGCGTGGTTGTGTTTACCTCCTATGCAGTGTAGGAGATTGGCTTTGGGGCTTTCTTTTCCTGTTTTCTCATGGAATGTCAAGATTTCTAGGAGTGACCCTGCCTCCATGCAATCAGTCCCTGAGAGGACTGTGGTGTCTCATTCCAGGGGAGCAGCAAATCCATGGGGGGATCTCATCGGGAAGGGTTGGGCTAGTGCAGCTCAGGAGGAATTGGTAGGCCTCTCTGTGGAGTCTTGTAAACTGGTGGGCTGGTCCTCAGCATGATAGTAAAAGCAACACAAGCCTGAGCACTGAAAAGGGGCCCCGAGAGTGTCTGCTCCATGCTGCTTGCTTTGCCAGCTGCCCATTGCTGATGTGCTACTGCCCAGAGAAAGCCACTTGCCTCCTCTGGTTGAATGTCTCTGCTCTCTCTGCAGAAACGGGCTTTGCCGTCACAGCCGTCTCTCGGACGCCGGGGGTGACCTACAGCGAGTCCTTTGACTTGCAGTGTATCATCAAACCCCACTATCCCGCCCGGGTCCCCGTGGCGGTGACGTGGCGGTTCCAGCCGGTGGGCACGGTGGAGTTCCACGACTTGGTGACCTTCACCCGGGATGGAGGGGTCCAGTGGGGGGACAGGTCCTCCGGCTTCCGAACCCGAACTGCCATCGAGAAGGCCGAGTCCAGCAACAACGTCCGCCTAAGCATCAGTCGAGCCAGTGACACGGAGGCAGGCAAGTACCAGTGTGTGGCGGAGCTGTGGCGGAAGAACTACAACAACTCCTGGACACGGCTGGCGGAGAGGACCTCCAACCTGCTGGAGATCCGGGTGCTGCAGCCAGGTGAGCGCTGCGGACCGGTGGGCTGTGCGCTCGTGCTGTCCGAGGAGGCGTGCAAGGTGTACCCCCCTGGCAGATGTGCCGGACCCTGACACGTGGAGCCCTTAGCATCACTTCCGCCTTGTCATTTCACTCTCAGCTTTTCATTTATAGACATTTCAGATCAATGGGAGGTTTTACGAATCATGCAGTGGACTCTTGTATTCCCTTTCCTCGATAGCCTGTTGTTGTCTTACAGCATTTGTTTTCTTCCTCTGTGTGTTTTTGTTGTTTTTGAGCCACTGGAGGGAAAGCTGTGGACATTGGGACACTTCCTCCTAAGGGCTTCAGCATGTAACTCCTAAGAACCTGCCCCCCCGCGGCACCATGATCACTCTTGGAATTTTACGTGGCTGTGGTCCTATCACCCGCATTTCCCCAGTTGTCCCAGTCATGTCCTTCAGAGTTTATTCCCTTCCAAATCAGGATCCACTCGGGGATCACACATCACATTTGTTGTCCTGCCTCTTTAGACTCCTTTCATCTGGAACAGTTCCCTAACCTGTGTGTGTGTGAAGACGTGGACATTTCTGAAATGTACAAGCCAGTTGTTTTAAAGAAAGCCCTTCTCTTTACTCAACCTCATCTCCTGTAATCCTCGTACAAGTATGTGGAAGTGGTATCACTGTCCCCTGTTCACAGACAAGGAAATTCTGAGGAAAGAGGGAGGGTGATGGGCACTTACTGAGCACCTTCTTGGTGCTAGGTGCTGAAGGTCAGTTACTTTATTAGACTTGCACGCAACCCCAGGAAATATTTAAGTGACCAGCCTAAGGTCATGTACCCAGTGAACGGTGGAGCCAGGATTTGAAACCTGGTTGTCTTTCGCCCACAGCATTGCCTGCACCCAGGCTCCATCCAGTTGTCTGGGGCTTGAATTCGAGTTCCTTCCTCTATGGAGGCTGAGTCTCTTTCAAAGTGGATCATAAGGATGCATTAATTTGGGGAGCATTAGTCAGTGGCTTTCACCTTCATGCAGCTCTTCCGCTGACAGGTGGGAGCAGCTAAGTACATGCAGCTCTTAGGGTTTTCTTCTGTCTGTCCTTGTCTCCTGCCAGGTTAGAAGCTGGTGGAGGGTGGAGCCCAGCTGGTAGGCTCCTGTGTTTCTTCCCTCATCCAGCCCATGCTGGCTTGAACGCCTTGCCAAAGGATTTTTCTGCCCACTAACAGCCACGGTTAGTGCCTGACCTGGTCTGCTAGACTACTTTAGGTGGCCACAGTGTTGTTTTCAGCAGTGTGAGGTTAAATAATGATAAACTGTGAGTTTCTCCTTCACCCCTTCTCACCCTAACAGAGTTCTGTTGTGTAACACATTTGGAATAAGTGAATTGTATATATGATGAGACTGTTCCTTTGGCCAGTGAGAGCCTCTGCTCGGACTGACAAGATGCTCTGGGAAGAGGCTGTTTTGCTTAAGTGGATTTTCAGGTTAATGGAAGGTTAAGCAGAGACCCCATTTCATGTGAACCCTTGTTGTGGAAAATGTCAAGGTACCCACTTGCCTGCATTATTGAGTGGGACATTAGGATTGTAATTGCACCTTTTTTTCGGTTCCTTCTGGCTCTCAAGGTCAGTTTTCGGAGCAGCAGTCCCTGTCACGTGGTTCTGCAGCTGTCGAAGGTAGAGGTGCTGACCCCAAGACGTTGTGTGACATTGCCTCACATTGCCTTTTTGAATAAATCCCTAGTATCTGCCTGTTTCTGGTGGTACTTGGAATCTGAGGCTGGAGTGCCTAAGGGAAGAATACAGAATGAGTTCACTGAAGGTTCTAATTATTTGGGTTAATTTATGACGTTACTAAAGGCAGACAAGGAAGAAAATGTTTGAAGTCCCTCTGAGATGCCAGGTTTGTGCTGAGTGCCTTACTCATGTTTTCTTTTTAAGTTTATGCAGCAACCTCATAATGTAGGTGTTTGTATCCCTATTCTGCTCATGAGGAAACCAGACCAAACCAGCCCTGCTCTGGTGTCTTCCGTAGAAATGTCCCCTGCCACCCCTGTTTTAAAGAATATTGTGTTGAATATTCTTATTCCATCAGAATCCAAGCGGCTGGAAATCTTGATGGAGGCCAGCCAGCAGGTGAAGCGGCAAAACTGAGATTTGAAGTGAGGTTGGAGCCCAGGTCTCTCTGGCCTCCGTAGAGCAAACACTTTCACATTTTCCTTTGTGTCATAATTGCCCCCAGGTAGATAAAGTGGCTGGAGGGTTGGGAGACCCCGGATCTGCTCTGAGGATGTCTTTGTGTCTCCTGTATTTGGCTGGTTTCTGTTGTGTTTTCACTGTAAGGTGAGAATCAACAGGGGTTGGCATAGGAGGCTTATGAGTATCACTGCAGTTGGGCTGTTATGCGGCCCCTACTTAAGGGTGCACGGTAATGTTCTTCTACGGCCCTCTGGAGGCTAGGAAGAGCAAGGTGGGTGCGTGAGGCCGTGCAGGACTCCCAGAGGGCGGCTGAGGCACCAGGAGAGTGCATCCCCGAAGCGTTACTGTCTCTCCTCTATTAAATATTTATGCATTTAGCACTTCATATTTTCCAGAGAGCTTCCTATGAGTTTTTACTCTTTTTCCTGTGTACTTTGGTTCTGGTGCATTCATTTTGGAGAAATAGAAGTAGAAAAATGCATGAGAGCTGACTGTGTGCTAAAGACTGTTGGACACATGCTGTGTATTATCTCAGTTAATCCTCACTGCAGCCCTGGGGGGAACATACTGCTTTCCCATTTTGTAAGTGAAGTAACAGAGGCTCAGAGAGGTTCTCACTTGCTCAGATTAAATACCTACTGAGTGGGGAAATTGGGATTTGAATCCAGGTGTGCTGTGTTAAAAAGCAATTGGGTTGGGAGGCCGAGGCGGGTGGATCACGAGGTCAAGAGATTGAGACCATCCTGGTCAACATGGTGAAACCCCGTTTCTACTAAAAATACAAAAAATTAGCTGGGCATGGTGGCGCGTGCCTGTAATCCCAGCTACTCAGGAGGCTGAGGCAGGAGAATAGCCTGAACCCAGGAGGCGGAGGTTGCGGTGAGCCGAGATCGCGCCATTGCACTCCAGCCCGGGTAACAAGAGCGAAACTCCGTCTCAAAAAAAACAAAAAGCAATTGGGGTAGGGAGACTTTGACCTTTTTAAAGGCTGTGTAATCAGAGATTACTCTTTCTGCATTCAGAGTTAATGGTGTCCTTTACAGAGGGATTTTCTCCTTGTAGACCGATGATGATGTGGAAGAGTCACGGCACTGGTGTTACTGGTCGTAATCACAGTAGAGCATTTCTTGTAAACTGTTCTGAGTGCTTTACACATAATAAGTTAGTTCCTCCTTCCTTCATCCGTGCGGTGCCGTGAGGGGGACTGTTTTGCTCAGCTTCACAGATGAGGACACTGACACGGAAGTCATGTAAACTCATCGGTGTGCCACAGTAAACAGCAGAGCCAGGGTTCAAGTCAGGCAGGCAGTCTGGCTCCAGAGTCCAGGTTCCTAATTTTATTATTATGTGTTCTAGACAAGCGTTTTTCTTCTCGGGAATCCTCTTTGGTACCGGGTACTTGTGTTTACTGTTTCCTCTCTCTGGTTAACCACCCCTGATTTCCTAACCCTCTTTAGCATATCCTTAAATGAGTTTTTTTGGAAGTTGGGGTCATAAGACACTTGTAGAGGTTCCTCGAGCCATGGTTTGCTGATGGCAAAAGGTTAATCTTGTGTCCCTTTTAACTCCTGATTCTTCCAGCTTCTGCCACAAGGTGGCTCCAAGACTTGGGGGATACCAGAGGCTCGACACCAGCGCTGTGCTCTCTTCTTTGGCTCTCCCTGCATACCTTGCCGCTCAAAACATAGATTCTCAGCCCTGCTCTGGTGTCTTCCATAGAAATGTCCCCTGCCACCCCCGTTTTAAAGAATATTGTGTTGTATATTCTTATTCCATCAGAATCAAATAGGAATCCGGGGACTGTTGACTCAGTCACGCTAGTCCATTTATCATCAGCCTTCCGCTGCTGTGATATCATTCATCTCAGCAAGGTTCTTTGTGGTCTGTGCCCCAGACTCGTCCCTGCTGGGGCCACCTGCTGATCCTGCCCCCATGTCAGTACCCATCAGAATCTCTGGTGGGAGGCACAGTTGCCTTGCTGTGGATCTGTTGTTATCCGAGCATTCCTTATGCCTGCCTTCTGCTGTGTATGCACATCCCCGGCAGAATCTTCAAGGAATGCCGTCACTCCCATGTGGCCACTGATTAGCTGAGCCTGAACCCCACTGATCGCAGTGTGACCCCCCCCAAGGGGCATTTAGGCAAGACTTTCAGCCAGTTCGACATGTTTGGTTCCTAGTTCTTCATCAGTTCTTTTCTCTTCTAATTGTGAAGCATAATCACTTTGCTTCCTTCTGATTTTCTTTAGCTCAAAACACCCTCCAATTATACCTCCCTAAATACAGAAGCAGTCAGGGAAATGCCAGCACTCATTTTCCAAATGTTTACGACAATATCTTGGTTTGGCTATTAAATATTGTACATTAAAATCGACAAAGCAATACACAAGCTTCCAGGAGGACAGCCTCCGGCGGTGGAAAGCCGACTTGTCAGAGGGTGTATTCTGCTGGGGTTTTAGTGATGGGCAGTCAGGATGAATATTTAATACCCTCTGGATGTTGCCACATCACTTTTCTTCTCTTTCTTATTGCTGACCTGGCACATTGGGATAGTGGAGGGCTTTTCTTTGACTTCCATGAGCCCAGAGCACGTGAACACTGGCTCTCTTTGTCACATTCTAGTGGGTGACTGGCTGCCCCATCCCTCAGAACTGGCCTCTGCCTTCTTTCAGGGGAGTCTGGGGTTCTCTTTCTTCCATCCTAGGTGGTGTCTGCCTGTTGTCTGTGCCAAGATAGAATGAGCGTGAGTGCAGGAGCCCTCAGAGGAGTGCCCAGCACTTCCCCCATGCCTCAGGCCTGTTGTCATGGTAACACCAGGGCACT